TTGTTCAGCATCTTAGCTGTAGAGGGCAGCGTCACTGGCCCTCATATGTGGGATCCGAACCGGGGCCCTCTGGTGTCCCAAGCCAGCTCTTAACCAGCGCGCCACTTGGCCGGCCCTCCAATGAGTTTTTTATTGTTCTTAATATACAGCATCTACAGTCATGTAAGATTTGTTGTGGTGCTCTCAGATATCCTATGTAGCTCAGCTGTCTTTGACTCATTGCCAGAAAACGGTCCTCTTGTCAACCTGTTGTCTCTATTAGACAAGTTTCTTGATATCTGTTGTCTCTTTCATTCATTATTTCTAACTTGTTTCATCACCCTTATTGATGTATACCTCTCCAACTTCTGTTATTTTGTTTTGATTAAACATTCTAACGTTTTGGTTGTAAATACCAGAAATTCAAATTAAACTAGCTTAAGTAAAAAAGGAAATTTATTGGCTTATGTAAATAGAAGCCAAATGGTTGGATGATGCTATCCCTGCTCTCATCCCCATCACTATCTTTTTTTTCTACTGCCAATAGTTTACCTCTGTGAGGTTTAAGAAGATGATTGCTGATGGCTCTAGGCTAATGTCATATCAGCTAACTCAGAGAAAAAAGAACTTGCTTCTTGTGTTCATATATGAATTCCAGGGAAGGACCCTGACTGGCTCTGCTTTGCTCATGTTCCCACATGTTAGGCTAATTAATCACTATTTCTGAGAATAGAGACACTGTGATTAACTCCAGATCATGTGCCTTTTGCTGTGGGGTACAGAGTACTGTAATTGACAGTCTTAACAGAGCCATGTAGAATGTGGGATAGATGAGTCCTCCAAAGGCAAAAACAACATACCACATGTTCACTATACTTGAGATGTAAGGCAGTATTAGCATCATGCTAATGAATAGAGCAGTTGGACTATTCTGATTGTAAATCCTGATTTTCAGTGACCTTGTGCAAGTTACCTTACTTAACCTTGTTGAGCTTGTTTTTTTCATCAGTAAAATAGGGACATTAATAGCATCTATCTCATAGAGAATTGAATTTTATGGAGGGCAATCATAAATGACCTCATCAATAAAGTTACATATAGGCAATATCCTGAACAGAGTGAAGGAGCAAGCCATGGAAGTATTTGGGGTAAAAGTATTATAAGCAGAGGGAAAAAAATCAATATTATTATTATCATTATTACCACACTTACCATAAAAAGACTGTCATTAAATCAGAAGCAATATGAAGTGAAAGGAACATGGACTTTGTAAGTCAAAGATTCTAAATTCAAGTTTCAGCTCTGGCATGTATCATCTGTGTGATATTATAAAGGTGACTTGACATTTCAGAATTTTACTTATAGGGAAATTGTAGTTAATGAGATTTATATCACAGGGTTATTGTGAAGATTAAATGATGTAACTGTTAAAACAATCTTGGCACATAACAAATTATCTGCCTGTTTATGATTTTTTTCAGTCTTACAGCTTTTTCACAGTGCAGTGTTATTATATTACCTTTCTTACCTATTATTATTATTTTTTAGATTTTTATTGGGGAATTGGGGGAGGGAAACAGTGTTGGAGAATTGGGGGAGGGGAACAGCCAAGTTGTTGTCCTTCAATCTTAGTTGTGGAGGGCACAGCAAGCTCAGCTCCAAGTCCAGTTGCGCCTCTCAGCTCAAGGTGCTGTGTCCAATTAGTTGTAGGTGGGTGTAGCCACCATCCCATGTGGGAGTCAAACTGGCAGTCTTGTTGTTAAGAGTGCATGCTCTTATCCCCTGAGCCATCCGGGCAGCAGCTCAGCTCAAGGTGCCAAGTTCAGTCTTTAGTTGTGGACAGGCATAGCCTACCATCTCAAACAGGCAACCTTGTTGTTAGGAGCATGTGCT